ATGCAGGTGATCAATAATCAGGTAATCATCATGCAGATTTTGCAGGTGATGATAGGTAGGCGATCATTATGCAGATGATTATTATGCAAGTGATTACTTCAGTTGGTGATCATTATGTTGTGTATAATTTATCAGATAATCATTCATAGCAGGTGATCAGGTGATAATTGTGCAGGTTTTATAGGTGATCATAAGCAGGCAATCATTATGCAGGTGACCAATCTGTATGTGATCATTATTCAGGTGATCATTATTCAGGTGATCATCATGTAGTTGATTTTATTGGATGATCGTTTATTAGATATGCACCCTTCAAAGCAAAATGTCACGGAACAGATATCTCAAAAACTAATTGACTTATCTAAGTGAGACTTTCTTGCGGAGATATGCTTTCTACTGAGTGCTATTGTTATTGTTTTCTATGTCACTATCAATTTGTCCAACATTATCATCATCAATATTTTCCCGTATTACTTTCTGTAGAAGGATCATCCTAATCCTGGACAAAGTTTTCAGGGAGCTCACCGGACAGCTTACCTTCCAAATAACCCTGAAGGGAAAGATGTAGCTAAGCTCCTGAGAAGGGCGTTTGATGCTAAACTCGTATTTACTGTCGGAACATCAACAACATCTGGGTGCTCAAATGTAGTTACATGGAACGATATTCATCACAAAACCAGTGTACATGGTGGACCGTAAGTATTGATTTTCTCAAAGCATCACACACTCTACATGGAATTTAAATTAAAAATAAGTTTGTTAATGACTACCATGTTCCCCTTTCCCATTTCTTTTTCTTATCTCTTTTTCTCAATTTTTTTGGGCCCTAGCCCCCATATCTTGCCGCACCCTGGATCTGCCCCTGTTACACAACCTTGCCATCTCATCAACCTAATTCGATAGGGTAAACTAGGAATTTGGTGATAAATCTCTGGGTAGACAAATCTTTGTTATAGCTAATCAAGTACCTGAAGACATTAAAGAAAAATACTTAAGAGCGAGACAAAAGCTCAAATTATTGAATATTTTTACTTACTTTACTTGTCCTCTTCAGGCCTCATGGCCCATAAGGCTGCTGTGACGGTTCTCCAGTCGTTTCTATCCATGGTGACTTGTTTTGCCTGGTTCCATGATCTCCATCCTAGGTGTCCCCTCTCTTTCTCCAATGTCCTCCACCAGGTAGTTTTCGGGCACCCAATTCGCCTCCTTCCTTCCGGTTTCCATGTCATTGCTGTCATACAGTGATTATTGGTGTCCATCTTTAACACATGGCCAATCCATTTCCATCTTTTAATTTGTGTTTTTTTGCTTATTCTTTTCATGTTTGTACATTCTAGCAGATTTTCATTTGATATCACATATGGCCATATGTGTGTTTATGTCATCTCCTCCTCCTCCTTGTGTACTGACTGTTGCTCCAAGATATGTGAATTTGTCCACCTCCTTTAGCTCCTCTCCATCTATATTGATTTTGCTGTTTGATTTACTGTTGATTTTGAGAACTTCTGTTTTTGTCTTATTAATTTTAAGGCCAGTTCTGTTAGAAGCTGGGTTCATCTGATTTATTTTTTTTCGCATGAATTGTGAAGTTGGTGAAATTAAAGCCACATTGTCTGCAAAGAGATCGAGATCTTCCAGCTTTTTCATAAATTTCCACCGTATTCCTGTTTTGTTTCCCTCCGTTGACCTATTCATGATCCAATCTATTACAAGTAAGAAGAGAAATCCTGACATCGCGTCACCTTGTTTAACTCTTGTTTTGACTTTAAACCATGCTGTTTCCTCTCCTCCTTCCAATACTGTACACTTATCGCATATAATTTTGAATATTTCTTCGAGCCATGCTGTTGTGACGTTTATATCTGCTCTTAGTAATTCTGCTGTGATCTCATCTTTTCCACCTGATTTGCCTTTTTTCATCTTTTTCAGCGCTTCTTTAATCTCGGCTTGTGTTATGTAGCCTGTGTTTATTCCTTCAATTTCGGTAGCATCAACGAGTTCCATAACTGGATTCATTGGGAGGGGACGGTTTAGAGTTTCCTCAAAATGTTCTTTCCATCTTCTTTTCCTGTCTGACTCCTTTGTCAATAAATTACCATCTTTATCTTTCACTGTAGTTATATGTCTCTTTCTATCGTTACTCAGTGTCTTTGTAATTTCATATAATTCTTTCATTCTTCCCATTTGTTGCTGCTTTTTATACTGTATTTGCCAGGTCATCTGTCCACTTTCTCTAATATCTTTTCTCATATTCCTTTTCACTTCCTTGTCTTTATCTCTGTATCTCCCTAACAGATCCTCCTTAATCCTTCTTGACTTGGTCTGTTGTATATCATTCTTCAGTTTTCTTCTCTCCTCAACCAGTATCCATGATTCTCTTCCGACCCACGGTTTCTGTCCTTTTCTCTTTTAACCCAGAACCTCTTTTGCAGTCCGTGTATAAGTGTCCTGAAATTCTTGCCATCTTCTTTCCATATTATTAGAACTATCCAAATCCACACTGTCTAGATCATGTAGAGCATCGTAGCGGTTTGTAAGTTTTATGGAAAACTGTCTCTTGATGTTAGGTATTTGTAATTTGACATAATCAAATCTTCTAGGTGACTGTGCTTGTTGTTTTCTTTTTAATTTTATTCTGATCTTTGTGCAAACAAGTAGATGATCGCTAGCAATGTCTGCCCCTCTCATTACCCGTGTATCTAGTATTGATGTTGTGTGTTGTCTGCTGACGAGAACATGATCTATTTGATTGCGTGTCCTATCCCCAGGTGAAATCCAGGTCTCCTTGTGGATGTTTCGGTGAGGAAATATGGTTCCTGTGATAGCAAGGTTATTGAGCCCACAAAAGTCCCACAAGTTTATGCCAATTTTCGTTACTACTACCGATTCCATGTCTTCCCATAATCCTTTCTAATCCATCGTTGTCATCACCTACTTTGGCGTTCAGGTCTCCCATCACAATGAGTATGTCATGTTTGGGTATCTTGTCAGTCATCGTCTGAAGTTGTTCGTAAAAGATGTCTTTAACTTCTTCCTCTGCGTCGTTAGTTGGGGCATACACTTGTAATATAGACAATTTCAAAGTGTTTGTGTAGAATCTTCCATAAATTATCCTTTCATTAATTGGCTTCCATTCTAGTAAAGACTTTTCTGCTTTTCTTGACAACATTAAGGCCATTCCTTGTTGGTGAAATCATCCTCTCTTCCAGAAAATATAGCAGTCTCCCCACTTGTCAGTTTCACCTTCCCAAACCCGGGCCATCTACATTCACTAATCCCCATAATGTCGATGCGATATCTGTTCATTTCCTTGGCTAACTGAGCTGATTTACCAATGCTGAATAATGTGCGAACATTACAGCATCCAATACTTAAAGTTTCTTTGGGCTTGGTCAACGAGTTAATCAGCCGCTGAGCGTCCTCTCGGCTTTGGCACAGTGGTGTCATACTTTCCATATACACAATGTCCTTGTACCAGGGGTATACGGACTGTCGCATTCCAAGCTCTATTTCCAGTTTCAACTGGTATTCTGTCACATACAGTTTCCGTAATCAATGGTGTAGTCCAACCTCCAATTTTACCCATGGAGGACCAGGTTTGCTATCTTTAGTCTGACCTCTACCCTCGGACCTATCCAGCATGGGAGACCCTTCCAGTAGCACTGCTACCGCTGGCTTAGCTCTTCGGGTCATTGGGGTACGGTTGCTACTCAACCACGACAAGGTAACAGCATAGGAGTAGTATTGAATATTTTACTGTGCATTTAATTGGTAGAAAGCTGACTTCTTTTGTTGTTTACTCTAGGTTAGGTAAACATTTGTTTCTTAACAGAATTTATGTATCCTGGATCAGAAAATAGATATTAAGTAATAAATAAATAATTATCATCACGTTCATATTCAATTCCATAAATTTTATTTTTTGGTGAATATAAATATAATAATAATAATATCATTCACATATAGTATATGTAATTGATAGTTGTATTTTTACTTTATCTTTAATAAAGAAGAGTGCTCTTCCTCTTGAGATCAAAACCTCATCTTTTGTCAGTATGTTTAAGAAAAAGTTAAAAACTTATCTCTTCTCCATCTCATTCTAAGTTTTTTGACACGCATGTAAAATGTTTGTTGTTGGTTTTTGTAATTTTTTAAAAACTTTTTTTTCATAATCTTATATTGCATTGTTAATTGACATCAGTATTTAATGTGCACTTTCATTATAATGTCATTGTCATAGCGCCACTGGGCATTGCATTCTGCCTTGGATATTGGTGCTATGAATCCTTGTTGCTTGATTGATTGATTATCTTTATTCATTCTTCTTTTCAGAGAACGATATGGTTATCCTGATCAGACTTACTTGAAGCGGGTAAAGGCAGAACTTGCTGCCAAAGGCATTGAGTGAGGACGCCATAGAGGTGTTTATCCAAAGCCATTGGTTGTGATCAGCAGTAACATACCTATGGGGGCTCATGGGAAAGTGGAGGGGGGTAAGGTTGCAGTGTAGTAGCTGAAGAAAGGAAGTGATATACTGTAATATGAATTTTAACTACTTATATCAAATTCCCAATGGGAAGGTGTCTGAGGCTTTCTCCCCCACCATCCACTGCCCATAGTTATGCAAAGGGTGGAAACAACTAATGGACAAATAAATACTTTATAGACAAACTGACAGACATAGATTTTGTTTATTTTATTTTATTAAAAGCAGAACCAGTCTGAAATCAAAGTATGAATGGATAGAATATTATTTGTTTTTTATTTTTAAAGTTTGTTCAATAGTACTTACAAAATGTATAAAAAAATAATGTAAAAGATTAATAACATTGCAACACATATTATTTGGTGTCATTATCTATGGCTAGATTCTTTTCATCATTTTGGTTTTCCTTATACAGCATTTAGCATGTATAATTCTATTAATTTTTTGTTCAGCATATAGCCTTTTGAAAGAACAAATAAAGCGCTGTTCTGTGGTGGATCCTAGGAATGGCAAAAACGGTAACTCCCTCCTCTCCCAACCCAGGCAGCCTACAAAAGATCACTAAACAAGTTTCAAATCAGCACTGTTAGACAATTGCCTTGTGTATCCTGTTTATAAAACGTGTGTAATGAACGCTATATGGTTTATATATGCTCATATTATTATCATTATTATTATTAGTTTTAGTATTATTAAAATGGGTAATTAAACACATTTTGTATTTTCTAAGTCATTTCAAACTAGCTACAGGATTAGAACTAGCTATAAGGTTAGAACTCTACACCCTCAAAACCATTGCAAAACTGGTTTGAGCTCAGCACCGTCGAGTGATTTTTCATATTTGTTTTTTATTTCATAATTTTGTATATATATTATTATTTTGTTTTTTCTTTCTAATTTCAATATCAGTTTTAAATGTCAATGAGGAAAAACCCTATGTTGTTTTACAAACAGACATAGTAAGTCTTGTTATTTCTATTAATATAATAATTCCTAGAAATTCTATACCTATTATGCAATCCCTCCTGGATAACTTAAATGAATGGTGTTTTCTTAATCAGATGGTACCCAAACCTTCTAAATGTCACATCCTTACTATAAATTTTTTGTAGCATAAAACTCCTGAAATGATTTTGCCGAATTTTACCCTAAATGGATCAGTACTTGATGTAGTTGATCATATCCGATTACTGGGTGTAATTATTCAAAGTAATCTTAAGTGGGATCTCAATACGGAGAATATTGTCTCTAGAGCCTCCAGACGTTTATTTTCATTATGTATACTTAAGCAAGCTAATGTCGCATGTGCAGATTTAATCACTGTGTACGTTTCATATATAAGACCGATTTTAGAATATGCTGCACCCGTTTGCATGGTGCTCTGTCTCGATCCAATTGTATGGCTATCGAAAGAGTCCAGAAAAGGGCATTTCGCATTATTTTAGGGTTTAATTATGTTAACTATGATAATGCTCTTTCAATTTTTAATATTCCCTCACTCGAGAAAAGAAGAGAAACACTTACACTTGCTTTTGGCAGTAGTTTGTTGAAATCTGTTGTTTTCAGAGATATGCTACCCTCTTATCATAAACCCTCTAGAACTTTGAGATATACACGCCTGCTTGAAATACCTAAATCTAAGGCTGAGAGATATAGTAAATCACCTATACCCACATTTGTCCATATTATCAATAAGCATCATAATCCA